TGTGTCCCTCTGTTTAAATTTCCTGGGAACATAAACCTGGAGGAAGAGTACTCCTCTTGCTGCCAGGCTGCTCGGTTTGCCTGTTCTCCTGTGATAACCATGCTTCTGTGTGTCTGTGATAACTGCTTCTTTCCACCTTCCTCACTTCACCCACCTGTCATGGAACCTGCGGCTTCAAATCACTACATCTTCTCTGGGATGTGTGGTGTCTCAGTTACTTTCTTGTCATTAACACACAGAATTGTACACCTGCAAATTAAAGGAGGAAGATTCATTTTGGCTCCCAGCTGGCCGCAGGGCAGGGCAGCTTGGCAGAGGAGAAAGAGCTCATGGCATGGTAAGCAGGTAGCAGAGATCAAGGGAGGAGGGAAGGAGATAGACCCTTCCAGGCCACACCCCCAGGAACCTACCTCCTCCATCTGGACTTCACCTCTTAAATCACAGTTACCTACAAGCTCATCAGTGGACTCATCCACTGATGAATATCCCACTCCTAAACTCCACAATGAGCACATGAAGCTTCAGGGGGAGATTTAGATACAATCCATAGTGTGTGATCAATGAGGAGCTTTCTCTCATTAAATCAGTTATGTAACATCCCTCACTTTGCATCTTCTAAACATGTGTTGTGCATTCTTGTTGTTATCTCTTTGATACTCTTTAGCCTTATGTGTCTCCCTCATTCACTCAATGCAGGTATATAATAAGTGCTTTCTGTATGGATGCAGTGTGTCAGGTGAAGTGGATACCATGAGCAGATAGACAGCAATCCCTGTTCACATTACAGCCCTCACACTGTAGGAGAAAGGTCAGAGAAAAAACAAACACATAAAATGGATAGTGTGCCAGATGCTGTCCAGTGCTGCATGTGGGAAAGTAATGTAAGATAGGGGTAGAGAACCTGCTGGTCAGACAGGCATGACTGATAAGGTGCTATCCGAGCTGGCATCTAATGGGAGTGTGGGGATGCACATTGCAGCAGGAGGCAGGAGGCCCTGCAGCTCTTGGCTGGTTGCCTGTGCGTGGCCGGATGCTCTTCTTCAGCCCCTGAAGCACCTGCAGCAAGCTTTAGTTAGAACTGCAGTCATAATGTGTTCATAGTTATTAACTTACATATCTGTTTCCACACTTTGACACAGCTGCTCAACTTTGAGAACCTTGTCTTACTTACTTTTATATTTGCAGAATCTAATGCATCATGTTAAGTGTTCAGAGCATCACTGTTGTTTAGTGAGTAAGAGATGAGATATTGCAGTCAACTGCAGTCTAGAATCAAGCCCCAAAGCTCCAAATTTGTTGTTAGGAGTCTTGGTTAGGAAGGAGGACTCTACATGCTTGACATGCTCTCCGAGATCAGTGTGTCTGTTTCTACCAGGAAAAAGTCATCCCTTAATCTTTCAGTTACATAGTGTACCAATTAGTCATCTGCATCACTTTTTACATCTTTTTGCTCACTTCCGTCTTGGAATCAGTGTAGCTATATTGGTATGAATCAGCTACAAGTTTCTACAAGAGTTTTCTTCTGTGGCTATAAGATGGAGCCAGCTCTGCCTTGAGTTATTGCTCAATCTACCAGAGTCCCAGATTCTCAGCTGTGCCTGGAGGTGAGGGTAAAGGGAGGTGTTTATCAGAAGTAGATGTGAAGCTTTCCAATGTGCCAGACTCTTGATAGCTTTTCTTGTGTGCTTGTATGGTGCTGGGGATTGCACCCAGGACCTCATGTGTGTTAAGCAAGCACTTACCACTGAGCTATCCCCCATACTGTAGCTTTAAAGTCATCCCAAGTTATCTAGCTGTGCCCCAGTTCCCCTGCTAGTTTAAGCTCTCAGAAGAGAAGGTGCAGGCAGTTTTCTGCCGCTCAGCCCAGGGGTGAGGAGCTAAGTGCCATGGAGGAGTGGGTTAGAGAAGAGACTGGCTGGTTTCTCTGCAGGACAGGAAGAGTGAAGAAAGACCCAGCCAAAATGTTCATTACCCTGAGAACTTGAACCTGAGCAAATGCACATCTGCTCTGCAAGGAGGCGTTCACTTTAGCCCTGCCCCCTGGTGTCTCTGAGCTGATGTTATTTCTCTTAAGCTTCACACACTTGTAAGTCTGGCCTTTGTGCCGAAATTCCTTTTGCAGGATCCCCCAGTGTACTAACTTAAGACCCTGTGTGGGACTTGCAGTCTTCCACCCCGCCTCACACAGTGCAGGGCCTCCGTTCCAGACCTCCACCTTCCATCACAGTTCTCTGTCCCTTCTATAGCAAGAGCTGAGTTTTATTTGCATTCTTTTTTCTGTTTTAGCCAGAGCAGATGGTCTGGGGCAATTTCAAAATGGTACCTTTCTTTAGCGTCTTCATCCTGGCCATGAAATCCTCTCCATTCCTCTTCTTTTCTCCTACTCTTTCTCATCTGTCCTTTTAAAATAGTTTTAAAAAGACATCCATCTACCTTCTTTTTTTCAGTCAAATACAAGTTACCACCTCCCTTTCCAGGGAAAACTTATTTGTTATAAAATACCATGCCTTCATATCTACCGTATCACTTTTTATACTGTAGCAATGGCTCACTTTGAATGATTACCCTGTATGGCTCTATTCTGAATTCTCAACATCTAACAGTAGTCTTTTAATGGAGATTGTAACATTGTTCCCACTTTCTAGTCAAGGATATGGGCACTTTAGAAGTTTGTAATTTACTAGAGGTCATACAGCTAATAAATGGGAAAGCCAAGATTTGAATTGTGTCTGTCTGGCTATATAGCTGTCAGTTGTAGGCAGCAAGTTCACTCACTTGGAAATCCTGGCATGGGGAAGGTAGGTGGTGTCCCTTCATAATGGATGTATTATGAAGAAGATGTGGGTGGGCTTCTTGTCACTCATAAGGTGTGTCTTGTGGGGCAATCATTATAACATTTCACTTGTAGAAGAAATTTTCCTTTTTTCTTCTATGCTGTCAATTTTTTTCCTCTCCTCATGAAATACTGTAGTCTTTCCCATGTTGGAAAAATGAGCAAGCAAGCAAAAAGGACTACTCCCAGTCTATACATCCCTCCACCTTCCATCACAGTTCTCTGTCCCTTCTGTAGCAAGAGTTGTGTTTTACTTGCATTCTTTTCTCTACCCAACTAGTTGAGTTCAACATTTTTTGCCCATCATTTGCCATCAAAACTAGTGTTGCCCATGTCACCAGTGACCCCATATTGCAAATTTTGTCATTTATGTGGTCTTCATCTTACCTAGTATTTTGGAAACATGATACAGTTGATCCCTTTATATCTTTAAGAATTATCTTCTCTTTGCTTCTAGAACACTACTTTTTCTTGTTTTCTTCCTCCCTCATTGGCCTGAAACTCTCTGTGGCTGATCAAACTTCATCCCTCACACTAGATGTTGGAGGGGCCAAAGGGTTAGCTTGGCTTTCTTGTGTTTCTCTGCATTCTTTCCTCTGGTGAAGTCAGTTAACCCTGTGCACACAAGGGCAATGTCTTAACTGGCAGTGACACAGGCCAGAATGCACATCTGATGCTATAAGGCAGTGGTGGCCAACCTATGGCACATGTGCTACACCAGGCTACTTTCAGGTCCCTGAAAGCTCTTAAAAGGTTCACTATCACTACTCTAGGGTATGAGTCTTTGCTGGTACTGGGCTAGATCTGGAGGGTCCATCTTCAAGCACTGGCCTGGAGATACCTGTGTTCCCTGAGGTGAGGGATATGTGGTAGAGACAGTACCTTGACCAACAAGGGTGACACTAAACAGGGTCACTCCTAAGTCTCACAGCCACAAGGACCTGCACGGTCATGGGGGAACAGATAAGATATGACCCAGGCCCACTGGCAGTGATGTAGGCCTAAGTTGAGCCTGTCCCAGCAACACGCTGTCTGAAGCCAGGGCAGGTCTGGAGGCTTTGTGTGTGTGCCCTTTGCGTCCTCCCTGGTGTCAGGTCCCATCCCAGCCGGGCTGTTCTGTGATCCAGGGCAAAGTCAAATGCCAGCTTTTGTGTTGTTCTCCCCTATGTTCCTCACTCTGAGACTCTGGCCCAGGGAGGAGTGGTAAAGGCAGTCAGTGGCCTGACTAGTGCAGCTTTGGGGGCTTGGTCTAGCCTGGCTCTGCCAAGCACTGGGTTTCATCATGGAGGGCCTGGTACCCTGGACTTAATTTTTTCTTCCTCCCTCAATGAGATGCATCTCTCCCTACACTGCTCAGAGTTGTTGGGGGAGAGCTGATATGGGGAACTCTCTTTCCTGCCTTCTTCAGTGTGTCTTTTCTCATTATTATACTAAAACCAGGCACCGTGGGCTCTTGCCGCACCATAGCCTCCCTCCTGGCTTCTTCAGTTCTTGTGAAGCTGGTTGGGTGTAGAATAGCTTTTCAACTTGCTGTGCCTGTAGGGAGAGGAGCACCGGAAGATCTTAGCCACTATCTTCTGCTTCCTTAGAACTCTGGCTCTTGATTAATCAAATCAAATAGATGTGAGAGAGTCTAAAAAGTAGAGATGCCTGGGGCTAAATTTTAAATAGGGAAGCCTAGAGAGTTGATTCAATGAATATTTATTCAACAAATGTTTATTGTGTAGCTGTTGTGTGCCAGAGACTGTTTTAGGAGGTGAGAATGGAAGAATGAATAGGCAACAATGTCCTAGCCCCCACGGAACTTCATTCCACGAGAGAACGACCATTAAAAAATAAACAACATAAGAGTATACAATATGCTGTTATGTATGTATGTTCCATGAAGAAAAGGAAACTATATGGTAATAGAGAATAGGGTCATGTACTATTTTATAAAATATGCAAAAGAAAGGTTGAATTTGGAAGGAAACGGAAATCTGTAGGTTGAGAGAATAAGCTGTGGTATATTCTAGGTGAAGATAAATCAATACTTTTGGCAAATGAAGTAATTGCCAGATATAATATTATTATTGGAATTATAAAGAAGGTTAGCTATTTAGGAAATGGGTACTTTCCAAATCAATAACAACAGTAACCAATAACAACTCCTTTTTTTTTTTTAAAGGTGTCATTGCACATTTTTCTGAACACTAAGGCAGTTGGCAAAAGAAGGCTCAAAGGGCTTGGTTCAGAAGAATTGAATTTAGGCTTTCTTTACTGCTTTTACCAGCTGTGTGCCTCAGGTAAGTCATCCATTCCATCCCGAATCCCTAATTTAACCTGTACCAACTGGGAGATTATAATAAAATAAATGGAAACTGACATTTTTCAGCACATCATGCTAGGTACATATGCCCGGGGGTAGGAAAGTTCCCGTGTCAGAGATAAATTTGCTGCCTAATTGTTTTCTCTCCTTTTCATGTCCCAGGCCCCATGCAAGAGCACTTTCTTTGTACCATGTGAAATGCTATCCAGTGATAGGCTGTAATGTGTGGTACTGTGCCATGCTTCTCAAACTACAGTGTGTACTTTTGGGATTATGAAGCCACCGAATAGTTCTGAATGCATTAAATTTTGCCCTGTAACACATGCTTACTGTTTTTTATATTTTATTTTTTGTTGGTGGTTGAACTCAAGTCTTTGAGCATGCCAGGTAAGCCCTCTACTACTGAGCTATCCCCAGCCTGGCAAATACTTTAAAACACTTTAGTTTAACAGATGTTATGGAGTAAATTTTAAGTTTTACATTAATGAGACAAAAACAAAATTTCAGAGAAATAGCTGTCTTAATTTCCTCATATACACAGAATGATTAAAATGAGATTATGTGATTATATAAGAATGTTATAGGAAGATTAGTTTTATATAGACAAGTGGGAAGCATACTGAGTTGACTCTATCATATTGTGGTACTCAACCAAATTAGTTTCTGCAGGGCTTTCATCTGTAGGACTGGGACATTTGGGCAGATATATCATTCAGTATTTAGGTATATTCCTTATTTTGAAAATGGTGCTATTAGTTTTGGTTTTCACTTATGAGCTCCAAAGATGTAAGTTGAGTTTCTCCAGTCCATACCAGCCACCAGCCTATAGGAAAAATAAAACAGGCCATGTTAACCACAGTAATTTAGTGTTTACAGTATTAACATTTACTCTACTTGATGGGTTCCTCTGGCTCTTCTGAAATTTGCAATCCATTATTTTCCCTCATAAATCACCTCTCTTTCTTTGGCTTATTTCTTCCACCTCAAATATTGCTACTCTAGAAGTCACTAATTACTAGTAATGTCAGACATTATTTTTAATGTTTCTTGGGCATTCAAGTAGATTGTGTACTCATATCTTTTGGCCACTTTTTAGATAATTTGTTCATATTTTTTATCGATGAGTGTTTTTCCATGTATTTTGAAGGCAAGTTTTTTTATTAGGTATATACATTGAAGAAGTATCTTCCTACTCTTTGCCTTATATTTTCACTTTGTTGACTTTGTGTGTGTATGTGTGTGTGTTTCCTACAAAGAAGTTAAGAATGTGCACACACTCAAATTTGACAGAGTTCTCCTTTCCGTGTGTTATTTATGACTCCTTTTCTTCATTGTGAGATAGTCTGTTTTCTCCAGCAGCATTACTATTCCTATTTAGGTATTTAATCTAGCTAGATATATATTTTGTGTGCTATGGGAGACAAAGATCCAGTATTATTATTTCTTATATATTTGTCTGAACACTTTTTATAGCCTGTCATTCTTTCCTTATGATATTTTCAGTGTCACTTTGGTTATAAACCATGTTTTTGTTTAGATGTGGTTCTATTTCCATGGTCTAGTATTAGTTGATTTTTTTCTGTGCCACTATGATATTGCTTTAATAATTACATATTTATAATTAAATCTTGATCCCTACAAGAATAGTGCTTCCTAATAAACATTTTAAACTAGTTTTGTATATTTTTGTCTTCTCCCTTTCATGTAGATTTTAGGTGCATCTTGATAAGTTTCATGAGAGCCCTTTGCAGTTCTGCATGGAGTTTGTAGGTTAATTTGACAAAGTCAACATTAACACTTTAATCTTCTCATTCAAAATATCACATATATCCCAAAATAATTAGAGATATTTAATTAAAACTTTCAATAAAGTTCTATAATGTTCTCTTTAAAGCTGTTACATATCCTTTATGAGATGTTCTAAGTATTTGTAATTTTTGTTTTATTGGAAATTGTACACATATATACAATTTTTCTTCTCTTTGAGTATTGCTAAAATAAAGGAATGTGATCTTCATGTATTAACTTTATATTTAGAAATATTTCAGTGTTATTACTTCTAATATTTTTGTATATATTTGGATACCATACATGGGCATATTACTAATGTGTAGTTTTGATGTAAAATAGAAATGGAACAGAGGAAAGAATCCAGAAATGGTCCAGCCCATATACAGACAACCAATTTATGACAGAAATGAAAAGCCAAATAAGTGGAGAAAAGATAGTCTTTATAATATACAATTATAAAAAATTTATACCCATAAAAAATGAACTTTATATCATATTTCACCCCATCTATAAAATGACTCGAGTAGATCATAGATATAAATGTAAAGAGCCCAAACTATAACATTTCCAGAGAAAACATAGGAGAAAATTTTCTGATCTTGAGTTTGGAAAATAGATATGACACCAAAAACATTACCCATGAAAGAATAAAATGACAAAATGGATTTCATCTACTGAATATATAGGTGAAAATTTTCAAATTTTATGCCAATGGTATATGCACTTTGTTATATGTGTATGCCTCAGTAAATTTGCTCTAAAGTAACAGGAAATGGACCTGTTCTCTAAACATTTAGGAGGCATCCAGTGATGCTAAAGATGTCTTTCCCCAGTTGTTTAGGAAGTTTTTACTCATGTTTCACACAAAATCTCCTTTACTGTACTATCAACATTTTATTTTCTTTTTAAAAAGACATTAACCACTTACCTTGTTCATTTAAAATGTGGAATAACTTAGGCGGTGCAATCTTGTATGTTTTGGATTTCTTATAGGCTGATCCCAAAGCTGTAAGATGGAGAATGAATATAAGAAAATTCTGCTAGGAGAGGCCCCAGAAAACATCACTGATGAAGAACTGAAGTTCAAGTTCTGTGTTCCAGAAAAGTACAAGATTTCCAAAGGACAACTAGAGGCTGCAGACAGGACAGAGGTATCTCAGCTGATGATTGTCAATGCTGCTGTGACACCTGTGGTGAGGGAGACCATTACAATTCTCAAAAAGATGAACTGTAATTCCCTAGTAAAATGTCTTGACGACGAGAAAAAGAAAGGTAATGTGAGAGTCACCCAACTTTCCTGACATCAGAGGGACAAAATTCACAGTGCCCTTGGTTGGGATTTGTTTGCTAACTTGGTTCACCTGGCCCTTTGCCCCCTTTCCCTGAGCATCACTTGGTGTTTGTTACAAGTTGCACAGAACCATCCCAGCCTTCGTTTGTCATCTCTTGTTCCAACCTTCATGCTACAACCTAGCATTTCATTCTCTCTTCATTTTGACCATATTTGCCTCCAACCACCTGCATTGGACACAGGATGTCAGTGTTCATGCTCAAAGCTCAGGAACGCTCGCATACTTTACAGAGGCTCAGACATGATATGGAGAAACTGCAGCCCTGAGCGGCTATAAACTAGGGCATCGGGCACTTTCCCCCTTCTTTCAGACTGTACTTCTCTCCTGTGCCTGCCTTCTTTTATTTTTTTTAGTATATGTTTATGATACATAATGAAAACATTGATCATGTGAGGAGTTGGTAATACATGTATTACATCTTCATTCTTTTATTTTTTTTCCCCCTTCCTGCCCTTCCCTCTGCTACCATCCCTAAATCCACTTTCCCATCTGCAAAAGGTCTCCCTCCCTGCAGGGATGCCTTCTCCTAGTTCAAGGATTCCCTCTCTTTGTCTTTGTCTCCAATGTAGATGATGATATAAACTTCCCAGGACACAAATACCATTTTTATGTTACTCAGTAAATCACAAACCCATCTCCATGAAATACCTACATTTTAATTTCCTGATTGCTCCCTAAGAACAATTATTGTATCATAGGTTTATGTCAGAAAGACTAAAAGAAGCCAACTCAAGCAATCTCACCCAATGACTCCCTAAAATGAGAGACTACAAATGGAGTAACTTTTAGATTCAAAGTAAAACTCTAACAGTAAAATTGTATCAGGTTTTATAGCATTTGTGTGTGCTTACAGTGTGAATGTCATGGCTTTTCATATGTGATTTCTAGGAAAGCTAAGTGAAACCATTTAAGTGGTAACACAAGCACACATAAGTTGCATAGAGATATAAACCTTAGTCCATATCTAAGATGCTCTAAAGAAATGAATGTGCTCCACATTTTGTTTTCCCCAGCTTTCTGGTTAGAAATTGTATGTCTTAAATATGGCCACAAGGTGGCAGTAACTACACATAGTTATTCCAAATAACCCACTGCCCTATGTTTTAAAACTTGGTAAACACAGGGTGAAGATTAAGGACTGTCATTTATTTTTTCCTCAATGCAAGAATTTATTCTTCTTTTTGGCTAAAACAACATCAAATTCCCTTACTACAATCTTTCCTCCAATTTTCTCTTCTAATGATCCTGAGATTTTAATTATGCTAATTAGCTAAACCTGAACTACTTTGGGTCTAGTTTGGTTGCTCTGTAAACTGTACAAGAAGTCAAACCAGTTCTTTTATAGCTTTAAAATCCCATCTCAGATAACCTGTAGGTCTACTTTTAATGTGTCAAATTTATTTGTGCCTTATGCTACCTCTATTAGGGTAGGAAGCCAATGCTTGTTTGGCTTTTTGTTGCTTTCCTCTTTCATTCCTGGAACATTCCTTCTCCACTGAATGCTACATGATGTTCTACTCATGGTCTTCCCTCAGGAAAGGTGGGAGAGATCTGAAGGAATCTTTAATGACAGCACAGTCAATAGTCAGTACACAAGAACCTTGTACAGGAAGAGAGATGACAAAACATGGGATACTTAAGCATGAAATAAAGAAGCTAGAAGAATGTAATCAAGGTCTGTAAAAGTCCTTTGGAATTAAAAAGGTGTGAGAATTGGAAGGGCTGGGGATGTAGCTCAGTGGTAGAGCACTTACCTAGCATGTGGGGGACACCACACACATACACATACTCACCAGCACACAAAGCCAGATTAAAATAGAAAGTTGAAAGTGATGTATCAAATGGCTGAAAAATATGCACTTGATTATTAAGGAAAATGAGAGATTTATTATAGTGAATGGGGAAAGGGATGTTACCAGGACCTCTGCCATGGGTCCTGACCTGTGAGCCACTACAGCACAAGGTGAATTCATGAACAGACAGAAACGAGACTTAGACTGGAGAAGCTGAGTCTTGGGTCCTGGTCAGTGCTGCTGATGGCAGCAAAGACAAAGACCCCCAAGAGCATCCAGTATTTATTGAATACAATCGTGGGAAGGGATAGGGAGTTGGGTATGCTTTGAAGGCATCTAGTGAAATACTGTGGAACACCTGGGATGATGGCACCAGGCAGGGCTGTTAAGGAGCAAGCATTGTTTACCTTGGTTGGATAAAACCAGTACCAGCACTGGGTGTAATTAGCAAGGGTCAGTGAGAAGCCATAATTCAGGGGAAATGATTTTAATTGGGGTCACGCTGACCTCAGCTGCACGTAATTCAGCAGAGACCTGCCACTTCACAGACCAGGGTCTAGGTTTCCATGGCAGCCATTGAGGAAGAAGCTATACTCGCCCTGCCTGCCATCTGACATGGTTATTTGAGTCATGTAGAGCTTTGGTTTGACTCCTGATATCAAACAACATAGCCGAATTATGGAAAACAAGAAGTAGGTGCCACTCAGCCCACTAGTACTGGGCAGGGATATCTGCTACCATTTATGGTGGGAACATATTGTCTTCCAGACACTTCCATGGGACCACACTATGTGAGAAAAAAGATGGCTGATGTGATGGGGTAGAATGATTGATTCCCTCAGCCTCCTTTAACTCCATTGTCTCTCCTACACACTCAACATAAAAAAGGGACTTTGATTGCATAACTCTTGAAGCCAGTGTCATGGAACTAACATACCATTGGAGAGTTAATTTAATTTCTAGAACGTCTAGAGTGGAGATCCCCTGTAACAACCCTGACAAAGAATCAATTACTTTCTGCTGTTTGAAATGTAGTGAGAGAGAAATTGCTGCATCATAAAAGAGTTCATTTTACTGTTAGCTCTATTAATTAAATCATTATTCTTTATAATAAAGTAGAAATGATCGCCTTGCTACTTCAGCCCAAATCTGTTCAAGTTCTGTCAGAAACAACATCAAATAATTTTTCTTGCCCTCTTCTGCCTGGTACTGCCTTAAGTAATTGAACATAACTATTTTCGTTCCAGTAATCTTGGAAAGAAATACATGGAGACACAGAATTCGGATAAAATAATAAAATTTCTTCTTGCGAGTGGGCGGGAACACCAGAAACAGGTTTGGTTACTACCCATGCCCGCTTTGTTCAGCATTTCCCTTTTCATATCCTTTTTAGCCATTATCTCATCCCTGGTGGTCTTTGATGTGTAAATACAATTCCAGTTCCTATTTACAAGTCACAAACACAAGATAGGCACTTATACATTGTAAATTCACCCTGGCATTGCAACTTTGTTATGTTAATGAAGTTACTGGTTAAAGAGTCAGATAACGGTCACCTTAAACAAGGAGTTATGCTTCTGCCGTGCCAATCCTATCCTAGTTGTGTCATTTTATTGCCAGACTATTTTGGTGGGGACTAGGTTTCAAAGTTTAATGGACAGATAAAGAGTAAGCATATATGCCCTTGTTCCCCACCTTAAGGAGAAAGCATTGTATCTTCTCCATTCATAGAAGGCATTCTCGCTGGAAGTATGGAGTACATGTCTTTAATCTGTTGAGAAGTTTCTGTTCTACTCCTAGTCTCCTGATAGGTTTTACCATGAACAGCTGTAGAATTTAGTTCAATACTTTTTCTCCAACTAGTGACAGGATCATATGGCTTTTTCCTTTCCTCTGTTAAAATGATGACTTTTGGGGGTGGATCTTCCAATGATGAACCAACACTGCCATCCCTATAACAAAACCACTTTCTACATCCTGCCAGATCTGACTTCCAATAGTTTGTTTTGTTAAACAAACTTCTATCTATGTTCATACTTTTTTCTCTATTATCTTTACCCAGTTTTAGGATTAGCACAATGTTGAGTTCCTAAAATGAGGGGAGAAGTGTTCCTTCTTTTTTCTGCTTTAATTGTTTGATATAATTTATCAGTTCAAATGTTTATGAGCCTGCTGTTGTCATATAGGTAGGTTTTCAAGCTAGGAATATACTTTCTTTAATAGGTGCTATTCAAATTTTATATTTCCTCCAGAGTTAGTTTCATTAATTTGTCTTCCAAGGTACTTCTTAGAAGTTGTCAAATTTATTTCAAAAAAGATTTTTGTAATATGCTTTCTATATCCTTTTAAATTCTGTAAAATCTATGGTAATGTCTCCTAGATCTTAATATTGTAATTTTAAAAAATGTATAACTGATATTGTGTAACAGGAAGAAAAGGTCTAAAAGAGCAGGGGAATTGGGAGGAGTAGGGGAAGGGAAAAAAAGGGAAAGGGAAATATATGAGAAGAGGAAAAAAATGGAAACAAGGTCTTTGCAAATAGGGAAGGGTGGAGGGGGTGAAGAGAGGGCAAGAGAAGGGGGAAAAAAATTATAATCAAGAGACTCATGTAATGGTAAAAGATCCCAATGATGAATGTAACTGTATTTTATACCTAAAATGTACCAATAAAGTTAATGGGGAAAAAAACCCCCAAACCGCCCCCCCAAAACAAGGAGTTATGAGAAAAGCAAATCTTAAAAGAACTCATCATTTATTTTGCTTCTACAACTACCTTAATATTCAATCTATTAAGTTATCTAAAACTTTTCCCTAACATTTTAATATATGGTTGTCTTTAAATTGGGACTAGTAGTTGCCTTTCCAGCACAAAATATAACCTGATCATAAACATGGGAAACCCAAGCCAGATTATATATATGCATTGTGGTGGCATTGGTGAGGAGCCAGCATGTTATTTGCCTATCCATCCATTTAGTCATGCACTAATATTTATTGAATTCCAAACAGGTACCAAGAACTCTTAGGTTCTGATAATAAAACAGGAAATTAAAAAGAAATTCAAATTTTGGCTGTGCTATTGATTATTCATGTTGTTGAATTTCCACATATTTGTGCATTTCCAGAA